CCACGGGTCAGCCGATGACAAAGACCGCCAGCAAAAGATGCTGGTAGCGTAGCCTGGGCAATGTCACCACGATAAAAACATGGATCCGGATCGTGGTGATAGCAAAGTGAGGAGGTGCGACCCTCGAGCGTCTGTTCACCATGGAGGTGCGGCTCAAACAGCGTCTGTCTCGGAGCGAGCGGCTGAATAAGGAATGCTGTATCACGTCAGCTACACCTAAGGTGGCAGCCCCACCAACATGATGTAGGTATCGCGACCCCGGTAAGGTAGCATACTGAAACCCCCAACATTACTCAGAAAAACGAAGAAAGAGAAAACAACGAACGGAACTTTCGGCAACTGACCCGGCAACGAAATAAGGACAATGAATGGAAACTCGGTACTTGGAATGTCAGAACCTTAAATGAACCTGGACGAGCGGGCCTTTTGGCTCGTGAACTGCAAAAAGTGAATGTGAGCGTAGCTGCTATTCAGGAAGTACGGTGGCCTAGATCCGGAGAACGTGAATTCCGGGCGGTGGATCCCATCGCCAACACTTCCTTCAAGTATCATATCTATCACAGCGGTGGCGATAGGGCAGAACATGGAGTAGGGTTCATAGTGATCGGGAAGCAGATGAAGCGTGTTATGCAGTGGAGACCGGTAAGCGACCGCATCTGTGTATTAAGGATTCGGGGCAAATTCTTCAACTACAGCCTGATCAACATCTATGCGCCAACCAACGATAAATCCGATGACGTGAAGGACGCGTTTTATGACAGTCTCGATAAAACTTATGATGAGTGCCCAAAACACGACGTGAAGATTGTAATCGGAGATGCAAATGCGCAGGTCGGGAGGGAAGATTTCTTTCGTCCAATCATTGGTATAGAGAGCCTACATACAGTAACCAATGATAACGGCCTGAAACTGATAAACTTCGCCGCTGCTAGAGGTATGGCCATCAGTAGCACCTACTTTGCACGCAAGAATATCCGAAAGCACACCTGGAGACACCCAAATGGCGAAACTTGCACCCAGATCGATCACATGTTGGTGGATGGCCGGCACTTCTCAGATGTCATTGATGTAAGGACTTTTAGGGGGCCTAACATTGACTCAGATCATTATCTTGTTGTCTGCAAAATTCGGGCGCGTCTATCGACCGTTACGAATTCAACGAACCGGAGATCGATGCGTTTCAATATCCATCGCTTGTCAGTAGAAGGTGTTGCTGCAGAGTACCGCCAGAAGCTTGATGAGCGGATTAGCGAAATCAACGTGAACGAGGACCTCAACAATCTGTGGAACACAATCCACGGAGCGGTGAACACAACAGCACAAGAAGTGATAGGTACAGCTCAAAGACGACCACGTAATGGCTGGTTTGATGAGGAGTGCCAGAGGTTGACGGATGAGAAGAACGTTGCCAGAAGCCGGATGTTAGTGTCTGGTACCCGGCTGAACAGAGAGCGGTACAAGGTAGCAAGGGCAGCTGAGAAACGAACCCACCGCAGAAAGAAAAGGCAATACGAAGAACGCGTGATTGCTGAGGCGCAAGAAAGTATGGAACAGAACGATATGCGAAGGTTCTACGCGACTGTCAATGGTGTGCGGAGTAAAACAGCGCCATCTCCCGCCATGTGCAATGACCTTGAGGGGAATTTGCTGACAGATAAAACAATGGTGGCTGCCAGGTGGAAAGAACATTTTGAGACATTGTTGAATGGAGAGAGTGAGGGAGTATCGAGGAACAGAGTAAACATCGCAGACGACGATCAAGCTGTGGAGCCTCCAACGCTAGACGAGGTTAAAAAGGCAATACGTGAGCTGAAAAACAATAAGGCTGCTGGGAAGGACGAGCTCCCGGCCGAACTTTTCAAACACGGAAGAGAGCAGCTGCATCAAGCAATCCACCGTATTCTAACGAAGATATGGGAGGACGAAGAACTGCCTGCTAGCTGGTTGGATGGCCTCATTTGTCCATTATTCAAAAAAGGGCACAGACTCGAGTGCGCCAATTATCGAGGAATAACTCTTCTGAATTCGGCGTACAAAATACTGTCACACGTTCTGTTTAACAGATTGAGACCGCTTGAGGAGTCCTTCGTCGGTGAATACCAGGCTGGTTTTCGTGAGGGCCGATCAACGACGGATCAAATGTTTACCCTGCGTCAAATCCTTGATAAATTCCGGGAGTACAACTTGCAGACTCACCATCTGTTTATTGATTTCAAAGCAGCATACGATTCAGTGAAGAGAAATAAGCTTTGGCAGATTATGCTAGAACATGGCTTTTCGGCGAAACTAATTAGACTGATTCGCGCAACGCTAGATGGATCGAAATCAAGTGTAAGGGTTGCAGATGAGATTTCGACCTCGTTCGTGACCTTAGATGGATTGAAGCAGGGTGATGCACTTTCAAACTTACTGTTCAACATTGCTCTTGAAGGAGCGATTAGGAGAGCTGGTGTGCAGAGGAACGGTACCATCATCACACGATCGTACATGCTCCTTGCCTTTGCGGACGACATCGATATCATCGGAATTGACCGTAGAGCAGTGGAAGAGGCGTTTGTGCCTTTTAAGAGGGAGACGGCGAGGATTGGGCTCACGATAAGTTCTACCAAAACGAAGTACATGGTAGCCGGTAGACAGCGTGGGAGCAATAGTGGTGTTGGTAGTGTAGTGTTGTTAGATGGTGAACAATTTGAGGTAGTGGAAGAATTTGTGTATCTTGGAACACTAGTGACATGCGATAATGATGTTACCCGCGAGGTGAAGAGACGTATTGCAGCTGCAAACAGGGCCTTTTACGGATGACGTAGCCAGCTGAAGTCCCGTAGCCTGCAAACGAAAACGAAATTCGCTCTGTATAAGACGCTGATACTTCCGGTAGTCCTCTACGGCCACGAATCGTGGACGTTAAATGAGTCTGACCGGAGAGCATTTGGTGTCTTCGAGCGTAAGGTGCTGCGAACAATACTCGGCGGTAAACAGGAGAATGGCATCTGGCGGCGTCGCATGAATCACGAGTTGTACCAAGTGTATAACGGTACGGATATAGCGAAGCTTATAAAACACGGCAGACTACGGTGGGCTGGGCATGTAGTGCGGATGCCGGAAGAACGACAAGCAAATATTGTATTCAGCAGAGAACCCGGTAGAGGTCGTCGACTCCGGGGTAGACCTCGGACACGTTGGCTATTTGCAGTTGAGGAGGACATCAGGTCGCTAAACGTTCATGGCGACTGGAAGCGATTGGCTCAGGACCGAGTCCAATGGAGAAGAGTACTTCGTTCGGCGTTGAATCAACCTGGCGATTCGTAGCCCATCAAGTATCAAGTAAGCATATTCGTAATCTGCATTAAAACTGGAACCTAAACCTAAAATGTCATCAATTTTGGAACACTGGAACTATTTTAAATAATTACGATTACATTTGCAAAAATCACCTTATTAGCGCCCCTCGGTGTCACTATATATGGGAGCTAACTGTCAGTTTGTTAGTTTAGTGTTAAACAGTGAAGTTATTATTTTGTTTTCAATCTTGATTTAAAAATCAAGATGAAAGTGTGTGGATTCGAAAAAAATATCGCTGTGCTCAGAAAACGAAGCTCTTTCAAATTATGTATAAAAACCGATACAGTTTTCAAAATTAAAGAACCCAATTGGGCGAAACGCTCTTATTGTATGTCATGTGGAACAATTCCAACATAACGCATAATAAGTACATGTCTAGATAGAGCTGGAATTAGGGCGTAACAGCCTTTGTAAACAATGACTTCTATCGATAGCCTATTGGTCCCAAGCAAACGATTAACGTACCCCATTCTAGTCAAAATTTTAGTACTACACTATGTTTGTTTTGATTCGCTATGAAAGTTTGACAGATAAAATGAGGGGTTAGTGAATTTTCCTATGTTTCGAGGGGTGAATCGATTAGCTAGCACGTTATTTCGGGACCTTCTAGTCTTAGAGTTACCTCTATGGTTATACCATGGACCCAAAGGTCAGGACCAATAGCGTGGAAGGAATTTATCGAAAAATCATGGTTCTCGGTAATAGAATGGAAGTGCACGCAGTAGTAGGTTTTTTAGATTTGTGGGTAGTTATATTTGTTTAGGTTTGTTTACCAACAATAGCTGAAGTTTTGTTTTAACCTAACTTTTTTCCTAACCTGAACTTCAGAGCTAGGATTAATGTCATTGTTGATGTTGATGAAAATGGAATCAGTTTTATCACTGAATTGTTGGGGGTCCAACTAGAAATCATGCAAGGCGGACCCAGGTACGATCCTTGTGTAGCAAGGACCGAATGGATCAGATCCCACCAGTCAGATGATTGTCCGCGTGAAGATTGTTCAAAGGAGGATTGTCCACATGAGGATTGTTTGAAGGAGAATTGTCTGCTACCGACGAGTCAAGGAGTACGTGGAGGAAGAAGATTATCCGGAACTCTGAAGCTCTTTATATGTTCCAGGGGGAACGATACATTCGGATGCATCCTGTATCCCCATCAAATTTATCCATAAAATTCTGCTTATATATCCAGAACATCAGTCAGAACTTTTTTTCTCCAGACATCCTTATTCGATTTTTTGTCTATTTTTCAGTATATCCTGAATATCCCTGTTGATCCTTCTGTCTATTTCGAAAATTCTTTCAATTCCGCTCGCATGCCATCACAGTGTTGCCATATCTTTTTTGAAGCAACATGCATCAGGATGAGTGTCGTTCCCCAACGTTTTCCTTGAACGTCATTGATTGTCTCTGAAGATCTTTCCTGGAACTATCTTCCTGCGGATAATCGTCCAGTGGACAATCTTCCTCTGATCAATCTTCCTGCGGACCAGTGTTGGAAAAGTTCGCGATATTTCACGAAGTTCACCAAGGGAAAAGTTCGCGAGTCATAGGGAACTTTGATGAACTTTTCCATCACTGCTGCGGACAATTCTCTTCCTCCAAATAATCTTCGTGTGGACAATCCTCTTTCGAACAATCGTTCTGCGGACAATCCTCCTACGGACAATCCTCTTCCGAACTATCTTCCTGCGGACAATCTTCTTCTGAACAATCTTCCTGCGGACAATCCTCCTTCGAACAATCCTCCTGCGGACAATCCTCCTCCAAACAATCTTCCTGCCGACAATCTTCCTGCGGACAATCCATCTTCGAACAATCCTCTTTCGAACAATCCTCCCGCGGACAATCCTCTTTCTCCGGATAATCTTTCTCCTCGACTCGTCGATAGCGGACAATCCTGCTGATAATCCTCCTTCGAACAATCCTCTCCGAACAATCTTCCTGCGGACAATTCTCCTTCGTACAATCTTCTCCCGAACAATCTTCTTGCGGACAATCCTCCTCCGAACAATCCTTCGAACAACCTTCTCCCGAGCAAACTTCCTGTGGACAATTCTCCTTTGAACAATCTTCCTGCGGACAATCCTTATTCGAACAATCTTCCTGGGTACAATCGTTCTTCGAACAATCCTCCTGCGGACAATCCTCCTGGGGACAATCCAAATATATGATGTTCAAGGGCCCTGGAGCTAATGAACTATTAGATTAGATAATTAACTATTTTAACTAGCTCCGCTTTTTTTTTTTGTTAGCATCCATGCCTCTCACGCCAAAGTCACGAGTTCAAATCTCAAAATGGCGAAACAAAAAGAAACGTGCTAAGGGATATGACACACCTCAATCTGACTGCCACGGCAGCGGGTACCGCGCTTTTTTTTGCTGGCGCTTTTGCTGGCAGTTGTGCTGTTTGTGTCACTTTTGACACCTGTTCTGGTACAAATTGCTGTCTTTTGCTCTAGTACCGGGTGCACAGGTACACTAAAAAAAACAGCTAGGTGAACCCAAAAAAATCGCGTGAAGGAGGTGCTTACTTATCGCGTGCTTGTGATGTGTCCACATTGTGTTAAGTGCACTTGAAAATGAGAGGAATGTTTAACTGTCACCAGTTGTTGCTTAGGTACAATTCTGCATTGCTGTATAAAACTCTTCCAGATGCTGTTATTCAACTTAAATTTGAAGTGCTTCAAGTTAATGATCATACCTTTTACCTCACATATGCCTAAATGGTCCAGTAGGTATGGTTGACGCCTATGAATCAGCGACTACCGGTTTGAATCCCAAAATGCAAAGGTAATTTTTAGACTTATATTAATAATATAAATATGTTATTCCAATTAGTCAGCAACAAGTTAAAGCAGTTCCATATAAATGCATAAGATATGAAGCGGTCTTCCATTATTATTTTTGAAATAAAACTAGAAGGCTGAACAAGGGTTGGAAAAGACTGTTATTTAATGCCTTAAAAAGCTTATAATGTATATTACTGTTAAGTTTTTGGCTGATTAAAATCACCAGATTTAGATGTGTAAAAGCTGGACAAAGGTTAACGTGGTTTATGTACAGCAATTATTCAATCTAAGGCTGAATTGAAATTGATTAATCAACACTTGTTTAGCTTCAATTTGTTACCTGGGTTTTACCTGGGTTCTTCGGTCGGGAGGCAGGTAGACTGCGCCTATACTGAGAATATGTTGTGGTAATTCCACGACAATCCAGACCTGTTCCAGTAGACTGACAATGGGTAGCTGGTTGGTCTTGTTGAGACAGCAATCAGAACGCCTCAACCGCGCGATTTTTGACTGTTCAGGGTAGATCGGTAAGTTCTGAAGACGGAATAAAGTGATCCGAAAAGTTGCGATTAATAGATCCGGTCATCCAGTCACGTTTCCGTCAGTAAGATCAAATCATATTCAGCCTCCGTAACAGCCAAGAAAAACGAGTCGATTATCATCCTTAGCCCACGCATGTTTTCATAATAAATCCGGATGCTATCCCGGAAGCTGGAAACCGAAACTACAGGCCAAAACCCCTCAATTTTTGTTGATGTTTTGCCTAACAGCAGCTTTTCGGGTTTGCACCTCCATATGTTGCTGTGATGCGAAAAGTTAGAAAGCAAATGACAGTGATCTTGCTCACTGAGCAATGTGCACAGCAAAAAATAAATTTTGATATTACATCCAAGAGGATGCTCTTCAGTCATATCGAAAATCTTATGTAATTTTTATGACCACAAAAATAAACAAATGTAGCGTAAATGTCAGTTCATGCACTGTATTAATGATAATTTTATCCTTTTTGGCAAAATATTACACCATCTGTTTGACACAAAAGAAGTGCATCCACTTTGATGTGATATTAAAATTAATTAAAAAAGGAACTCTGGAATTGCTCAGGAGATCAGGAGCTGTCTTATACCCCGTACAGACTATGGCTTATATTATGTAATATAGGCTGTCTTGCAATAAACACTCATACATCTAGTTTTCACTGGAAATCCTATGTATGAGTGCTCATTGCAAGACAGCCTATATTACATGATATAAGCCATAGTCTGTACGAGGTATTACACAGCAAAAAATTAATTTTAATATCTCATCAAAGTGGATGCACTTCAATCGTGTCGAAAATATGGTGTAATATTACTCGCTAAAAAGGACAAAATTATCATTAATACAGTGCATGAACTGACATTACGCTGCTTTTACTGCATTTGTTTATTGTTATGGCAATGAAAATTACATGTGATTTTTGACATGATTGAAGTGCATCCTCTTGGATGTAATATTAAAATTTATTTTTTGCTGTGTACCTCTTGGAAAATTTCAGCTCATTTGGATGTAAAGGCCCAAACGCAATGTGGGCAGAAAAGGAACTGAAACGGCAGTTGTCACAAAAGTCTTCAAGATGCCTAACCGAAGTCGATTTGGTTTAAATCTGGGAGGGAGAAGCAGATAGCGCACACGGAATCAATTGTATAGCTTGTTCTTCTTGTCATGAAAATTTGTGCTATTGAAATCAAATCAAATTAGGCGTGGCAAAATAGCCCGTTTTGCTTTGAGCGTGTAGTGATTGTTTGACGTTTTTCAGTGTGCAGTTAGAAAATGTTCTTTTATGGTCTGTATTTTATCGTATCTTTCAATATTGATTTGTGTATATTCAATAAATGAATTTAAAAAAAAACGATGTCCCATTGAATAAGATAGCTCGAAACGACAATTTGGCCTTGTATATTCTTGTTCAACTGTAAGGAAAGCATCATCAAACAGCTTGGCTCCCAATGACCGTTCGTGACAGCTTAATTCTGGCTCCTTTTGACGTTAATATTTTTCGAGTCTGCTTCTCCTTCCCAAGTTTAAACTAGTTTTCAATCCGACAAGTAGGCTTACTCAGATCGGGCTTTTCCGCTGCCGCTGCCGTTCCGCTTCCACTGTCATTGCGATTGGGCGCCTTAACAGGAGCTGGCGCTTTTGGTTTAAAGTTTATATGGGGATTTTGGTTAAGGTTGCATTATCACGTCTTTTGGAATGCGAATTTACAATGGACCACTGCAGAAAGATCCGCAACACAGCGAATTTCATACGATCATAACTTTTTGCCGTCATACGGTACGGTTTTTGACGCTAAAAATAAATGTCGTTCAAAAAATGTTGTTGACAATGAAACTGAAGCCACCTATCAGCCACCTCATAAATTTCATGGAATATTACCGTTTATGGGAGCCCAATGAATGTTGTGAGTTTTTATAATAGTAAATTTGCCTATAGTTTGTGTACTTTTATCAAGTGGTAATCAACTCTACACACTGTGTCGAAACACATAACGGCACACTGATCGGCTCGTTAGGGCACACTTTGACAAGTATGACAATGAATATAATATAAAACGGGATCACTGTTTTTTGCAGACGTTTTTTTTTTCTAATAGTTGCTATGGTTTCACACTTTGTTGTCAGCCGTTTACGCTTCAGGATAAATTATCAAAACCATTGGACTAGCCGATCAGTTTTCGAAATAGAAGACAAACATATGTATACTTTGCTCGGATGTCTCTTGCAGCCAGAACTTCGTCCAATTCCTTCTTTTTTTAAAGTGTAGTGCTAAATACCAGCGCCGAGATCATCACCAACAACAGAAATAACTAGGTCACGCTCAGGGACATCCACTTTTACAACCAATACTTGCTTGGCGTTTCCGATAGCCACAATATCGGTAATAACGGTTCACAATGGGTCAATTCCACAGGGTGGCCAGATACATATAATAATAAAAATCTGAACCTCTCCGCCCCAGATGAGCGATCTACGGAACCACCGGTCGCTGACACTTTTTATGCTTTCAATAAATATTATGAAATCCTATTGTACATTCTTAGACAATTTAATAGGTAGGCTTTCTTAAAAAAAAGCTTTCTCACAAAAGTCACTAAATCTTCAGTGATGCCAAACTCATGGGATACTTGATTTTTACGCTTCAGCACAACGTTTGGAACAGCTTTTGGCACAGCTAAAACATTCGGCACAGATTGAGGTGTGCAGAGTTGAATACCCCTCGACCTTTATCTATTCTATTAGTTATTAAAAAATCGTTAGACTGAACTGTTAGACTCCGATTCAGTAACTGCACTACATTTCGAAACACCTGCACCTGCACCTTGCTTTTCCGGCAGTCATCACGAGTTATTCCCGCAACCTGTTCCGCATCAGTATAGGTCAGTTTCAGCATCCAGTTCGTCGGTATTGCTACATCTCTTAGTCAGCTGGTCAATCCGTTCACCGCCCGGTTAAGTCGGTGGGTAGCTGTTATTATCAAACGCAGCTGAGGAAAAACCAAAACGGCGGCTCTTTTTCCCGTAAGACTCTCCGCTCCATGCGGCAATCGTCGAGAACAGTTCACTACTTCAGAGCGGCCCACATCCCACAGCTTTAAAAAGCGATCCCCGATCGGGAGCAATTTCTTCGTGTGCATTTTGCTCTCACTCACTCACTCACTCACTTTAGCGCTCCCGCCTATAGATCACTTTGGCAAAACGCGTGCGTACAACGGTGGCTTAATTAAATTTATAGCTACATTTAACAGCAATTGAACATGTGTTGAGCGATTTTTCCCCTATGTACGGATCGGGCGACCGACGCGACGGTGGGAACGGAGCAGGCGGCTATTGGTGCGAACATGGCCTGCTTTGCGTTCGATCATATTGGCTTCAATATCGGAGCTGGTTGGCCGGATTGGGTTGCTACGCAACGACTTACGGGGCGATAGAAAAAGCGCACATGCAGGTGAGTTGTAAATTAATCAATTTGATCACTTTTTGGCTTCTGTATTTGGATTGGAGTTGACATGAGCCTTAAGAGAGAAAATCGATATTTTATCGGGCGACAACGAACGACGATTAATTTGTTTACTTTTTCGGATCGAAGCGGTGGACGTGGTGGACATTTTCATTCATACGGTTGCTGTTCAAACGGACGACGACGACGACGACGAAGTGAACACGACATCTACTGTCGAACGGATCGTTGAACTGTGGGAAGATATCGGACGTTTGTATGTTTCGGACGGTAAAGTCAACACAATTGACCGAAATTTGGTGTTTATTGATTGATAGATTTGAGCGTTATCAATGGAGCACTCAAGTTGAATGACATCAGAGCATAAAAATGTACTAGCAGAGCTCCTTAAAAATCATAAATCACCGAAAGAATTCTCGTATTTCATACCGAATGCACGACTCAGTCTACAATTGCATCCCACGGTACAGATTCCGATCGATATTCGTACATGTATCTGGAATGACCTGATCTAGCTGTTAAGGCACAGTCAACAACTTTTAGTGGTGGACTGATCGTAAAACAAACATTCAAAACCCACCAGCTAACATCGGATGAAGTGTGCACTAAAGGTTAGGCCCATGGGGGCTCAGAGTTCAAACTGAAAGCGAGAAGTTATTTGTTCGCCAGTCACCACCACCGTCTAGATTCCAGTGTGTTCTGCTAGCTGGGTAGGGTACGGTAAGTGCCACGAGAGACCGTTGTTGGCAACGATCGGTTTTATCAGATTGCA